GGTGGAGGTAGTTTTTTTCGTTCTTAAGTTTCTTTTTTTTTTTTTTTTTTTTTTTTTTTTTTTTTTTTTTTTACTATTGCATTTAGTAAAATTCTAGTAAAGAACTGTTATTCCTATTCCCGTATCTTTGCCTGAGAGCCCCTTAATTTCAAAATTTTCAGAGGGAGGAGGTTTACATTTTCCATTTCAGGGGAGGCTCCTGCCTTCCTTAGCAGACACCTGTCTGTTCAAACCGAGACAAAATGCAAGAATCCTGTGTTTATAGAAAGGGACTCTGAAGCATAAGGCAACTGTGACTCTCCCACATCTCCACAGGCTGTCTAGGAGAGGACAGACATTTCAATCAGTCAAAGCACAAACCCCTGGATCACTTTTTTACCTCTGCACTAATCTTTCAGAAATATCTATTTAAATATCCTACAACATCCACCCTGGTGTAGGGCAGGGCCTGGGCAGTTTTTTGCTTGTTTCCAGCATTTCCAACAACTGGAAAAGCACCTCAAGGTGATGCTTTGATCTTCTGTGTTTGCTGTCTTCTTAGGGAGCAGCAGGAAGGTTCATCAGCTTCACAGATACCTGAAAGGACTTTATCCTAAACACAAGGTGCAGTGAGGAAAGCAGCACAGACACTCTTGTGGGTGAAAATCCCGAAGGAAGGGGAGGTGGGTGACAGATGTCCACAAAAGGGGAGTGGAGGAGAGGAAGGTCAGAGTCAGGAGTGAGGAACAGGGACGTGAAGAAGCAACAGTCCTGGGCCAGGAGAACTAACCCAGCAACTCAAAAAACGATGACAAAGTTAAGGCAAGAAGCAGTCATAATTTGCTTCTCTATAGTCAGCCACTTTCACGACACATCTGAATATTTTTTCATGAAGGCCCCAGTTTTAACTGTCCTGTCTATTTCTCACACATTTTACAGGCACACTTTTGCCTGATTGGAAGTGATCCCATCTACTAAAAACTGTATCTCGTATTTTCACATGTCTTAGTCACAACTGCTGAAACCACATTTAAAGAGATTACCATAAACTACCCTCTTGGAATGGAGAAGGGAGCCTGGATTTTGCAAAGGTGACCTTTAAGGTTCTTCAGGTTTAAAAAAAAAATGCAGGACAGGTTGGTTGCTTTATCTGCATAGATTTTGGTCGTTATTCAGTCCCTGGCCTCATAAGACATTGTATTATTTTGAGATTTAGGTTCTGTTGGACTTAATTCAATTTAATTGTGGGCTGGTGTTGAAAGGGGCAATCCTGCACCCTCACTCCTGTCCCTCACAACCCCGTTCGTGTTGGTGGAGGGAATGGGAGGCTGCAACTCACAGATCAGATGGGAAACCAACCTTCACAACAAACAAAATGCCCAAACAAGGAATTTTCTGTGGAATCACTCATCTGAACCAACCCTTTCTCCACCCCTGTGAGTGGGAAGACTCCTTTAGCAGGAATATGCAGTGAGAGCAGACTGGGGGCACCCGAGGCTGCACCCACGAGGACCCTGGCACTGGTGAATAACCAAACACCCACTCCCCAAACTCATTAGATGGTAAAATTCTGCCTACAAGGTCTGTGGAAGAAATCCTTTTTGTCCAGAGCCCCAGGATTGCACTTTGCAATTATTTCTTATGCAATTATTTCTTCTGGACATCTCACCCTCTCACACCATTGGTTTGTCTCTATGAAGTTCTGCAGCAACACCAAACTCAACCACATTTAACACCAATTTCAAATGCGAGGTCTAAATATCATTACTTAGCTGTATTTTGGAGAAGTGGGGGGAAAAGAAAAAGCAGTACAATTTTCCACCTTGGAAATAGCTTTGAAAATAAACAGTCTCTAATTACTCATTATTTGGCTCCAGAACAATAATTACTCCTATTAAAGAAGACAACACAAAGCTGTTGCCATAGTGGCTGACATTTTAAATTGCATTTTGAGAATGCTTGATAGCAGCACAGCCTCTGCTTTCTTCCCTCCAAAAGGGAAAAAAGTTTTCCCTCACACTCTTCTACCCCCAGAGAAATTGAGAGGAAATTTGCCTAAATTGTTCAAAGAAGCCCTGAACATAAACTAACAGTTACACACTCAGCATATCACACATTAACTGAATTAGACGATTTTGATGTATTGTTTTAGAATATCTGGTGGTACCTAACTACAGTACTTATATCACCTTGAAAAAATGAGATTTTCTTCATAGTTGATAATTACAGGACAAAAAAGGGTGCCTCTGGAAAAATGTTGTTTTCCAACATTTGTGTAGAACTCACCCACCTGGGTGGTTACAAAAGCAGTAAACCTGAAATTAGATAAAATTCATCATAGAATTGTAAAGTATATTTTGAAAGGGGCCCCTGGAAGTCACCTAGACCAGGATCCTACTCAGAGCAGGACTGCCAGCATCAATAGATCAGTTCTGCTGCAGGTTTATCCAGCCAGGCCTTGTAAAACCCCGACGATGCTGACCCTGTTTCAGTGCTGTGCCACCCACCTGGTAAAACTCCTCATGTCCAACGTTCCTGAATGTCCCTGGTAGACGCTGCTCTTTGTTATGTAATTTCATTTTCACTAACTTTGGCTTGCATTCAGCTTAGGGCCTACCAAAACCCCAATTCTTTTCCCATTGGGATATTTATTTTTTCCTGATTTTTTTTTTCTTTGCTTGGAAAGGGACCTTAAAGATTATCTAGTTTAAACCCCCTGCCACGGGCAGGGAATTTTCCATTAGACCCATCCAACCTGGCCTTCAACATTTCCAGGTTGCTTCACTAAAACCAACTTGTTTGATCTGAACATCCTGTCTCAAGAAGGGACCTGACCCAAAAACCTGTCCTAGTCATCCTGTAAACACTAGGTTATCAACAGGCAACTCAAAATTATTTGTCTGAATAAGTCTTAAAGGGTTTCATGTAATGAGGAAAAGACAAATTTCCTGCTACAGTGGAAGAGCTTCCTGCAGCTATCTAACTTTCCTCGTGCTTGGTACATCCTGGAGAATGAAAGTGGTCCAAGGAATAATGTGGGAAAAGCCAGTTCTCATCTCTAGCCAAGTCTGAAAAGTAACCTGGAAGTTCAGTGAAATTAAGGTTTTTAGTCCTGTTTCCATAATTTTTGTATTCATCGCATACAGCTCTAACACCTTACAAAATCAATTTGGTTTAATTTAATGTTCACACTAAGAAAGCAAAAGTCATTGCAAAGCCACACTGAACGGTCTTTAACATTCCTCTGTTTCTGAAGATTGGAGCCACCAGTAATTCAGTTTAATTTATGCCCACGAGCTGCCTAGAAGGCTCCAAATAAATGCCATTAACACAGTTGCTATGGAGGGCAGGGCTGGCCTCCACGGGAAGCTCCATCCCTCACGCTGCACTCACAGCGTGGCTCTCTCATCAAAGTGCTGTTAAATCTGGAAACCACAAGCTGAGAAGGAGTGAAACTCAGCATAGCTGAGCACAATCCAGCAAAATGTCATCTGCCTCGTGTGAGTGGAATCTGGCAGCTCCGTGCGTCTTGTCTCGGCTGATCCCTCAGGAAGCCGAGCGATGCTGGGTGAGACACGCGCAGAAAACGTGGACAAGGATTTCGGGTTTTCTCTGGTTGAGATGATCCCAAGGTTTGTTAAAAGTCCCTTTTTCCAACCCAGCTGTCGAAGAAAGAGTCGAGGAGTCTTCAGCTCACGTTCTCAAGGTTGTTTATTATATTTTATCTGAAATGTTTTCTGTCTGGCCTGCCGAGGTCTGTTCTGCAGGTCAGTTCAAGGCACACTCCCTGCCCACAGGGCTGGTGCTTTTATACTAAAAACTATGTATACTATGTTTACAATAATGTCCCAATACCTATCACCTATGTTAGACAGTGACTTTCTACTCTAAACCAATCTGTGAATGCCAACATCATCCTGAACATGGATGCCAGGGAGAAGGAAGAAGAAGGACAGGGCATGCCCAAATCCCTCCATCCTGGAACCCCTGACCCCCATGCACAGAATTCCAAACCCCCCTGTACAAGGTTCAAAATCCCCCTGTACAGTGCTCCAAAAGTTTTCTCTTCACCCTGTGATTACTACTACTACACTATCTAAATTTTTGTGACTTTTAATTCTTCATCCAAAGGTGGTAATTTGTTCCATGGGTCAAACTCATGGGGTCTTTGGCTGCATTCCAGGGTCTCTGATCCCCCTGCCAGGGCTTCAAAGCCCCCTGGCTGGGGCTCGGATCATCCAGGACCATCAGGGGGACGTGCTGGGCTCTGACACAAGGAGACCAGGAGGAAATGGCTTGGAGCACCAGCTGGGTGTAATCACATGTCCAAGCTCATGGAAATTCCAGTGGCAGCTCTGCTCGGCAAGCTCAGCTCTTCCTCCCTGGCAGAACTACGCCAAGTGGTCAAACTGTGCTCGCAGGGAGCAGTATGAACACCAAGGTGTTGTTATTATGGCTCTCAGATTATTTTTTCTCACCAAAGAAGGGCTGGCAGAGCAGTTCTAATGCACTGCAGCTGCCTGGTGTCCCCTGCTGACCATGCATGGTCCATGTGTTCTGTCTGATGCCCCTTCCTCCCCCACTGATGGCTGCAGCAGGACAGGGGCAGGAGGCAGCTCCAGCTGCAGGCAGGAGGCAGCAGGAAGAATAAAAAGCAGGAAAACCTAGCCTGCTGTATTTGTCCAGTTACACTCTCCTGCCAGATGCATTCAAAATGGGTCTTTCATCACTGCCTGGCACCTCACAGAAGTGCCCATAAAGCAACTCATATCAATATCCAGATTTTCTCTGGGAGCGAGCGCAAAGCCAACAAGTCTGAGCTTGTTAACAATGGAGAGATTAAAAAAATTAAAAAAAATTGAAGCTTTAAAACTGCCCTAGAGCTACAACTCAGCCAGTATCTCTGTTTTTCCCCTCTATGATTGCATGAAGAACTCCAGCCCTAACTACCTTCTGTAAAACCTTAAAGAAGCACTGCCAGTCCCAGTCCTTTTCTCATGCAAACCTCAGGTGAGACAATATTTTTCAGGGCACAGACCATTCCTGTTTGGGACAGAGACCTGAATATGGGTGCACATCCTTCCCCTCCTCTCCCACTTGGAGGTTCTTGTGATGTCAAAGCAATGTCTGAACAACAAGGGGAGGAAACCCCAAAACTTTTGGGGTTTAGCTACCCTTGGTGGGAGAAGAGAAATCATGAAATTTAACCAGCACAGTAAAATCAGCCAGAAATGATGAGCTTTCTCACATCTCCTCAGCAGCTAGCTAATAAATTAATGGCTTTCAGCTTACAATGAGAAAAGTAATTTGTTTAGAATTAACACACATGCTACGAGTCTTAATGTGAGTCCCATTTTCACCTCAGCTCTTTCTTTGCCAATTTCTGAGGGGCTGAACAGGCTCAATTTACATTAAGAGGAAAGTGTGAGTAAGGCACTTCACTGCACACTGCAAGAGTTGGTTGAAGATTCCATTTATGCACAGCTCAGAGCAGGAACCAGCCCAAAACGAAGCTGCATTAAAAACAGGGACTCATCTGATGTAACTGCTGGGGAAACACACAGACAGATGTCCCAGAAAGATCATCTCTGTGAGAGGGAAAATCCCAGCACAGAGACCCAGAGCTGAGGCTGATTCACTTCATGCCAAAAGATTTTGCAATACAGTTTTGGGTTTTCTTTTTTTTTTTTTTTTTTTCCCCCCCTTCCTTTGAAATGTGAATAACTTGGAATTTCTTTAAAACACACCCTTCACACTGCAGGAGTACCCACACTTTCTGCCAACAGATAAGTGGCAAAGGCGTTTCTCTGATTTTCCTCGCTCCCCAAATCCTGAGAATTTTTCCTCTTACCTGCACAGGGACTCACTGCAAAGCCCACTCTCCTCTGGGCTCTGTCAAAGATGACATAAAACCCTTCCATGACTGTAGCACCAATGACCAGAGCGTTTGTGGAGGAGGAGATGCCGAATCGGTAGCACTGCAAATTATCTCCTATCACAAGGATGGGTTGAATGTAAAGCTGCAAAAAAGAAAATTAAAAAAAAAAATTAAAAATTTAAAAAAAAAAAATCAGAAGCCAGAGTGTAAAAAGCAACACCTCACAGCAGGCAGGAGTTCAGACTTTTTCACTTTTATAGTTCAGGCACGCAAATTCCACTGGGAATAGAGGATGGATAGGGGTAAACAGATTTTTGTACATGATTTAAAACTGGTCAAAGCTAACAGGCAGGTAAAGAGGTAGAGCTGGTGGATTCTAAAATGAGTTTGAACACAGTCAGTCACTACATGCAGGTCAACAGCAAATTCTCAAGATTCTCACTTTTTACCATATTTTCCATAAGAGAAGGATGGCTGAGGCAGAACCTGGGAGATGAACTCAAATTAGAGAATAATTAATTATTAAAAGAATTATTAGGATGGATTGATTCAGAGGGCATTCAGTGTCAGCTTCAAGGTTCTAGATTTTATAAATTCAAGTCACATTTCACCCCCTGTCTCCTCAGGGAAGATGCATGATTGCCAAGCTACATGATCAATATAGAAAAAGCTTATCATAAGGCTTTACTATATTTCAAGTTAAAATGTACTTAATAGGTTCATTCTTCCCTTTGCTCCTGCCTGTCCCTTGAGGTAAAAGAATGTATTAGTAATGTTAGACAATACCAGCCTGTACTGGAACTTACAGTGGGAGGAGAAGGCAGAGAAGAAAAGGAAAAATGGCACATTGTATTCTAAATATAATGGTATGGATGGAATATTAATAAAAGATAAACCAGGCGAGTTACAGAAACTGGTGAAGAGCTCACAAAGGGTCATTGCCCAGATTTTCATATTCAGAAGAAGTGCTCCAACTCAAAATGCCACAAGAAACAAATCAATTCCCTTCCCCAAACGAGAAGATCAAAACGAGCAGAGACATTCTGTATTGACAGTCTGATGTGGCCAAAGCTCACGAAAACAAAACAGAAATTTGCCTGTTTTTCCTGACAAATTGAAAAAAAAGTTAATTCCCAACTGGATGGACTGCACTGGGAGGGAAACTGTGCTTTGTCCCTTTCTTTTTTGCTTTCAGGTTTGACAAGTTTGTTATTTTCCGTATTTGAAAACTGATTTTTAAAATTTGATTAAAAAAGGTTTCCCTTGCATACAATAAGCCAGTTCCCTGTCACTGCTAAAAATAGCTCCTATTTTTAAAGACTGTGTGCTTTGTAACAGTAAAAATAAATGCAGAGATGAATAAACAAAGAAGGTTGAGACCTGTGGTAGGATAGAGATCCGAAACGACCTACTGGAGTTTTCATCCCTCAGGTAAATGGAGAGTTTGGGAAATAAGGACCAGGGTTTTTCAGTTCTATCCCAGCATGCAAGCTGTGTACCAGTCCAGAATTCAGAAGAGAATTCTTGTATCTGCAAAACAAACCAACCAAACAAAATTATCCTTAGAGATTACAGCCATTTTGATAAATTTTTGTGAATGATCACTGCCACTATTTGATACTTCTTTCATTTCCATGGAGAAATTCAACACGAATCTGAGCTGCTTCTTTAAGGACCAAGGCAAAAACCCAAACCCCAACACCCAAACCAAGGTGTGTCATGACCCATCATGACCTGGAGAAGGGGGAGGAGGCAAAAACAAGTTTAGCTTTCCCTTCCCTCCCCATTTTTGTCCCATTATTTCCTCTACTGCAGTGAACACGTGGCCTCCCTGAGCAATCACTTCCACAATTCTACTGCCTCACCAATGGTTTTGCATTTTGCATTCCATACAAAAACACAAACCAAAACACAGACCACGTGAATATATCATGAGGTGATGAGGTCACCTCCCTTCCTCATGCACCTACAGCTCCTTACTCAGCTTCAGAGTTTTGAAGCCAAGGGCTAAACCAAAAATCTCCTGGCATCTGAGGGAGTCAAGGTTTGCTGTAATGGAAAGAAACACACCCTCTGTCTCTTTTGAAGCCCTGTCACTCCCTGCCAGTACAACCTGACACGCTTGTGAAATAAAACTGATCAACAGTATTTTGTAACATATCCATGGAACTAACAAAACAAAAAGCCAACCCTTACAGAGCTTGCTTGGCTAAGACAAACATCTTGCTCAATGTTCCTGCTCCCTGAAGCTGACCTGCTGACAAATCTGAGCAAAACCCTTCCTCATTTTACTGCATTTCTTTGGCTGGTTCTTGTTCCTCCACAAAGCAGCAGAAGGGAGGAGCTCGGTCTGAGGCTGCACAGCCAAAGGTTCCCATCTGGGTGAGGAAATCCAGACTCTGCACTCTCCTAATTTCTATTTCTCTGCGATGGATTATTCTGTAAGCATCAGCTGATTCATTAAAATATGGCATTTTACAGGTGACAGGCACTCACCCATGGCCACACCTGCCAATGAAGTGTTTGTTAGGGCTGCACTGAGACTCCTTCCCATTTCCAGGTGCTCTGCTCTGTTTTTGGGCCTCAGCAAGCACAAAGACTCATTTGAACAAGGAGATTTCCCACCGTGAACAGCCTTTTACCCCGAGCTCTCAGCTGCTGCTGAAGTGCATCCCTTGGCACGGGGCAGAGCACTCTTCCCTCACAGCTGGGTCCCAGGCCAAACCTGCTGAGAAATGCAGCTCTCCTCTCTTTCCTTTTTGTCTTGAAAAGCAGATCTGAGGAAAACTGCAAGGCACCCCCCAGCCAGGTCAGGCCAAGCCTATGAAGTGCTCTGTTTGAAGTGCCTGCTTTAATTCCCCAGAATGACTGCTTAATGCACTGCATTTCTTTCCCTTCCCTCTGCACGCTGCAGCAATGCATGTGGGAGATTTGAGTGCATGATCCCCAAAAGGCTACTAAAATAAAGATTTTAGGATTATCTGAGCCTTCCTTCACTCAGCTTTTTAACTGGCCATTGTATTCCTGCTGTCCTGACTTCAGCTCAGTGAGGTGTAGTAGGTGTCCCCCCTCCCTGGCTCATCTCTGCCCATCTGCCAAAACCACCACCCTTCAACACCAAACTGCATCCTACCAGCTGCTCCCTGAAAGCCTTCAGTCCAAATAATTTAAGTTTAAAAAAAAACATCTGCACCACTAAAGAGCACAGAGCTCACAGCCTTGTTTTTGAACTGAGCTGAAGAAAGAAATGTGTCACAGACAGTTATCCCAGTTTATCTCAGGGGGAAATAACATCTGGCTGGGCTGCTCATAACAAGCTAGGAGGAGCAGGAACTTGTTAACCTGGCTCACCTGTGGTCAGAAAAGTGTGTCTGACTACAGCAGATGATATTTTTCCAGTGGTACATCTCCTGCCAGAAGCACAGAGCCACAGTACAATTGCTGAAAATACCCATTTTCCTGCCATTGCTCCTACACAGCTGGAATCCCATCCCTGCACCCTGTAACTACTTTCTTATTTAGTAGACTATCTCCTTTGTTTAGAGCTGTCAAAGTAAATTCTGGGCTGTGTGGAGGGAAAGGGGTAGAGCAGAAAGGTCCTAGAGATTAAAAAGAACTCAGGAAAAAAAGCTACTTTATGCATTTTTAATAGGAACAGAGGAAAAAAAAATTGAGCAGAGTGAATGGTTCCCCTCTAATACCTCACTGATCTGTCCACTGTTTCCTTGTGAGGTGGAAGGCCCCAGTTCAGATGTCCTGACCAGCATCAGAGGGGAGTGTGGATCACTGTGACCACTTCCCAGGAGGATTCCTTATCCACAGGGTGACACTACAAGAGCTCCTGGGCTGGCTTCTTTCAATTCTCCCCCCCAAGGACTGAAATTGTTCCAACTGTTCAACACTTAAGTGTTGTGCAGAGAGAAGAACTCGTAACTGGTACATTTATTTCAGATGCTGGACATCTGCAGGCGGTGAAGGACGCTTCATGCCAAATCTCTGCTCTCCATCAAGCAGGAGAAAGGATCTCAATCTTGAATTATCAGCAGACTTTAGGCAAACACTATCTTTGGGGCAGCTGCTTTACTGTGTTTCCTGTGATTTGCATCAACAACCACTGGCTGATTGTGAGTCCATGACAAAAATACCGAGTTTGTTCACACTGAAATAGCTGGTGTTTATTCTTCCTCTTTAACCTTCTTGGTGCTGTTCCTTGTGTTGAACAGAAATTTATGAATAGTTTTTATTAACCAGAAAATGCTGCTTCAGCCACTCTGCACGCAGAGAACTCCACCATTCCCGTGCCCTACTTCTAAAGCCCACTCTGTTTCCAAAGAAAGATGCTTTTGAACATAAATAATTCAATAATGAAGGTCAAAAGCAGCTTTATTGATATGAATAACCCTAATGAATGGCATTTATTCTAGACAGCACTGAGAATTATACTTGGAAAGGAACTGCTTGCAGCAGCAGGTTCTCCTACTTTATAAACACTCTGTTTTGAATGAAAAGACTGATTTTTGCACTCTTAATACTTTGAATCAGAGCAACAGGGATTATGTCTGTGTTTCTGAAATGCTTAGAATAAAATACACCATTTCTGCCCTACTTCTGATGCATTTCCATACTCACACTTCTTGTCTGCACTTGTGCCCCCCCCCTTTTCCCTCCTCCCTTATTTTTTTCCACCTCTCCCTTTCCATCAAAGGCCATCAGTCATTCCTCCCTTATTAACAGGGCTGGACCAGGGAAGGCTCTGCTCCCCTCAGGTGAACAACCCATGACTTGCAAGGCAGGCAGCAGAGATGAGACCCCTCTCAAAGACCCTGTGATCCTTGAATTTCACATTTCTGAGCAGGTTTGGTGGCATTTCCTTACCAGGGACGTGCGAGCTATTGCCTGCACCACAGCACTGAAGACTTTCTCTGGCAGTCGAAGGAGAGTGGTTCCACTGTCTACTATGGCTTTATCAGCATTGTACTGGGGAGGGGAGACAAAAAAAAAAAAGAGAGAGAAGTTGTACGCTGTAGTTACTGTAATGCAGATCCCACTGTCTCCTGAGCAGAACAAAGCTGCTCCTTTTTGGCAGCTGCCTTCCCAGAACTGCATGTCAGACTTGTCAGCAGCTCTCTCCAGCTGACAGCTTCAATTCCAGTGAAATCTGAGAGCCAAAAAAAAAGAAAGAAAAAAAAAAAAGCAAGATACTATCAGGCTAGACACAAGAGTGGGTTTATCTGCACTGGTCAGGAAATTACTGTGTCACCACAGCTGGTGCAAATGGTCACAGTGCTGTAAAAAAGTGAATTCTGGCCTCTCTCAGAGGGAGCAAAAGCATTTTAATATTCAGTAGGCAGGTGTTAAACACCCTGATGCAGCTTCCAAGCCCTGAATCAAGATCTCTGCTAGCATGAGAAGAGCTCTGGTTTAAACACAGCAGCCTGTTTTAATGGCTGGCATATCTAATCTAAGAATAAGCAGAAAAAATTAAGCCTTAATACATGTCTGTACTGGCTCAAGAGTACAAATGTCACACCTTTATCCCTTGACTGCTAAAAACCCCTAAAACACACAAAAACCCCCAAGTACAAAGAAAGTTGAAGTTTGTCTTGCTGCCTTAAAATCTGCACAAAAAACCACCCACAGCAAACAGCTCTCTTATTACTGAAAGTCCAACCATAAAATTAAGAGATTTCAGCAAACTTCAGGTACAGTCAATGAGGTACAAACTTTTAAAAGGGTAAATTTTTTTTTCATGAACTCCTTAAAAACTATGATTAACTGAGGAGGGGGTGAAGGCAAGAAGCAGTGGCAGCTATTTGCATTAACTACTTTTGCTGCCAGCTTAGGCAGCAGGATTAATATAACTGAGCTGTGACATGTTTATGGCATAAGCACAAGACACAGGATGATATACAGCCTAAGCTACTTAGGAAGAGGTCAAACAGTAAGTGAATTTAAAATGCACTGGTTTGGATGTTATCAAGTCACATGGAGTCCCTTTAGGGCAGTGACAAAAATAAAACCCACCGAAAAAAGTTAGAAAAAGTAACTCTTGACAGTTATTTCCACATTTTTTTGAGAGAGCTGCTATGGGGCTGCCACAGAGAGCTGAAAGAAAAGCAAACAGGAAACCATTTATTACACACTTGGAAATACTTCTGAAGAGTGGAAAGAAATGCCAGGGCATTTTGGAGTCCATTTTAACAGATTTGTATCACAAAATACACAATCACTGGCATCCTGGAATGCCACCCTTGGAAAAAAGTACTTAAAAGGGTTGACCATTGATATAAACCTGTGCAAAAATCTGGGATTTTTGTAGTGGGATTGCTCACATGGGGACTGAGCACCTGGTTTTGCCTTCTTGGCTTTCCTGGTTAATATTTACCAGTGCAAAGTGCACTTCTGGCAGCTCAGCATTGCCCCAGCCCAGGCTCAGAGCCACAGCTGTGCTGGAGCTCTGGACACATTCCCAGCATTGGAGCAAGGGGATGACTTTTCCCTGGCAAGGAAAGGAGCAGTCCCTGGTGAAGGCTGTGAAAAAAATGTTCCATTTCCCAGCAAACAGCAGAGAGGAGAGAGGGCACACAGCTCCTCATCCTCCAGTGAATCATGCATCCTCTGCGAGCTCCCAACCAGCCCGGCTTTAATTGTGCTGCTCCTCTTTTACTGCTCTTCCTCTGAATTTCTGTGGAATTTCTGTGGGAAGGTCTCCTTTGATCCAGGAAGGCTCGATACTTCTGCACCAGTGAAAGCAACCCCTGGCTCAGAAAAGAGCAACAATTACAGGAAACTTTCCTGACACACCACTGAATTTTTCAGTGAGTTGTTTTCTGGCAACAGCATGTATTAAACCACTGAAGGGCTCCCCTTCAAAAACATGTTGACTGTTTTTTAAGGCAAGAAAGAAAAGCAAACATTTGTTTTAAAGGATCAGTGGTTTTGCTTTCCTAACAGCACAATAGAGAGAGGCATTTAAATAGACCTTGTTCTGCTTATTGAGTTGAAAGATGCTGGGACTCATTTTAAATAATTGATGTGGCAATATGATTTCAATATTTTGCATGGGAATATAATATTTATGCACATGTAGTACTGGAATAATGAATTTCACTTAATTTATATGAACTATAAAAACTTTAAACTTATCACATCCCATTGATCTCCTACTAAGAGCATCAGAGTAGAATGAAATTAGGATGTCTAAAGAAATTGGGGCATAAAAAATACAGAACTAAAATCAAAACATGAATACCAACAAGCAAGAGTAAGAAAGAGATAAAGCACACACATACACATATATCCTCCACAAAAAAAAAAAAAAATAATGCCTTTGGAATAAAAATTGCAACAGCACAGTCTCATTAGACTGATCTAGATACAGCAGAACATTATTCCTAATAGAAACAGAAAGCTTATCAATCAGGAATAATAACTGCCAACCACAAGAGAGCAAAACTTGATTGCAAGAGCACAAAATAGAAAAGGAAGCCTAGGATGAGAACTTCAGGAAGCAACCCAGGGTGACACCTGCCCACTGCCATCACGAGTTGTGAGCTCAGACAGGGGTCAGCCCAAAACCTCCCCTTTCCTTTGTTTGACCAGAATTGCTTTAATTCATGTCTCAGGAGACTGCAGTGCACATCTTCTTGCCAAGACAAAACTGACCAGTCAGGTTTTGCTTTTTTTTTTTTTTTTTTTTCCTTTTTCTCAGCCAAACTTGCATTTCACAGAGACAGGAAGACAGCAGGGCCAATACCTCTCTGCAGTCCAGCTGGAGGTTCTGTCCCCCCACCTCCAGCTTGAGGATTTCCACCTGGTAGTACCACTCCTCCTTGATGGGTGTGTACCAGATGTCCCCTGTGTACAGACTCGGCTCAATTCCACCCAGCACCTGAGGGACAGGAGAAAAGATGTCACTTACTTAAAAATCCCACGTGTTTAGTCCTGGGGCAGGTGCACACAAAAAGGGGGATGCTTAATTGTGATACTCAGGGGGAATGTAGTTTTAATTTAGCACCATTTGTTAGGATTTTACTGTCAAGTTCTCTGTCAATAATAGAGCAGCATGAAACATCTAGACATTAAATAGATTGTGTTTCAAACAGAATTCCCATACTGGGCCAAATTAGCAGCATTTTCACCTACAACCTCACACTGATTCTATTGTGAAAATGCCACTATTTAAAATTAAAACAGTATTAAAACAGTATCTTCAGTGGATAAATCTAGGCAATGTATAAAAATAGGATAGAATAATAAACTTACGTGTGAATAATTTGCTTTATCAGATCAGAAAATATTTTCCAAGATTTCATTTTTTCTGACACACATCCAAAATGGAATCCCATCCTGGCACTGTTACCACTCCTAGCTTCCATCAAAACTTAGGCTGAGGATGGCTGGGAGCATTTGTGGACTCTGACTCTGAACTAAACTTAAGAAAATTCTCTCTTGGTCTTCAGTTATAAGAAAAACATTTACAATATGTGAATTCTCCTCAAAATAAGTGTTTGTGATCAGCTCCTGTGCTGAGGTGTTTATTTCAGCATCGTTTGGGAGCAGTCATTCCATCTCCCAGTTCCAGATACATAATGGGCCAATTCATGGTCCCACTAAAGAGGATGGAAAGATTTCCCAGAGTAACAGCAAGCAGGAGCTCTGATCTACAGATTTTTCCCTTTAATATGTCATTTACAAAAAAAAAAAAAAAAAGAAGAAAAGACCCTTGATTCCTCTCCCCCTTTTCACATCACATTAAAAAAAATACTGTAGCATTTTGATGAGATTGAACAAATTTATCAGCTACATAAGGGACTACTCAGTTTGAGAAATATAGCAGAATCTGCCCCGAGGAAACACCACAACATTCATATTTTTCTTTGTTAAAAGATGAAAAGTTTACTCAAACTTGAGAGAGAGAAAAAAAAAAAAAAGAATTGAGAATGAAAATAAATAACACTCAAATTTTGCCTAAGGGCTTAGCTTTTCTTTAAAAAAATAGAAAACATATTTAAAATACAAAAAATATATTTAAACACTAAATTTGGCAGAAGCAGGACAGTCAGAGAAAAGAGGGAGAGAGGTGAACAAAGATACATTTTCCCTCTCCTACTGACAGATACCCACAAGACTACCTCCGTTGGTACCACTTCCAGAAACAGGGAGTCCAGCACCACACATCTGCAGGGAGAAAATGTTGGGGATCTTGGCCTGCCTCACGAGGGAATCAAAGAATGTCTCCACAGAACTGGAAGGCTTGAAGGTGTTGAAAAGCAAAACAAACAAACAAAAAAAAAAAAAGAATTGCAGAGTTCATTAGAAAGTTTCTTCGCAGAAATCAGCAAATCATTCAAACAAGACCACTTTTCATTAGTAAATTGAATTTCTGACAAGCAGCTGATGAAAGTTCTAGACATAATAAGCCATTAAAACCCCAATATCTGTCATTTTTCTGTTTCTGTTGTTTTTAAAAACATTTTTACTCTTGGCCACTGTCAGCACTGCAGCCACCAAATCCCTAAAACACAGGAGTAATTTTCAGTTGCAGTTTCCAAACTCAAACACCAGTTTCAGGCAGAAACTCTCACTGATGGTTTCTGTTTGGAAAAGGCTTTGTGTTATTAGAACACTCAAAGGTAACTTGCCTTTCACTCCTTCCCACAGTTAAAAAGCAGAATTTTAAAGTCAAGATTTTCAGTTTTTCAGCACTGTTGAATTCTACCAAACTTTGAGTTGAGTGTCCCAAATTTCCTCTCTTTTCTCCTGAAGAACTTCATACCCAAGCACACTCTCCAGCTGGGTACTGGCCAGGTTCTTCCTGACACTGCAGGTCCTGTTTTCCTTTGCAGCCACTGGAATGCTGCAACTTCCCTGTAACTCAGATTTGTGTGCACGGAGGTCAGAGGGGCCAAGTGCTCTCACTGCACAAAGCCCAGAGCAGAACAACCCTGAAATCCTTGGAAGAAGGGAAGAACAAATGCCCTGAGTACTCTGTTTGCCCAAAGCAGAGTTTGAGAACATCTTCTCTCTCTTCTCTTCTCTTCTCTTCTCTTCTCTTCTCTTCTCTTCTCTTCTCTTCTCTTCTCTTCTCTTCTCTTCTCTTCTCTTCTCTTCTCTTCTCTTCTCTTCTCTCCTCCTCTTCTGCTGACAGTCCATGAAGTCAAAAAAAACAGAACTCGTTTGTTCTCTCTGGGTAGAACTCACTTCGGGATGGGAAGGTTGAAAATGGTAACTTTGTAGTTCTCCAGTCACGTTTTCAGTTTTAGATTTTAAGGTTATACATTTTGGATTATAAATTTCAGGTTTTAATTGAATCTTCTACCTGAATTTCCTGCCTCCAGAGCAGCAGGATGCGCTTGGTTCTATGTTCCTGGAAATACTGTAGCCAATATTTGTTCTGAAATTATCCATCCACCTCAACTTTTACTCGATGAGCAGAGAACGGCCTAGAAGGAACTGCTGAGGGCTTTGCCTTGGACCAGTTTTGAGAAGTATCCTCAGAGCTCTAAAACCTCCCTCCACACACATCTCACAACCACACTCTGGTACTACAAGCTCTGTAAAAGTTTATTCATTCCAGAGGAGCTAAAATCAGCCTTTCCATCACCAGAAAAGCCAAAATCCTCACGTGGCACCGTGGTACCACCACAACCCAATTTATTCCTTCTGGGACAAAGACAGAAGATCTGTAGGAAGGAGTGGCTGGAAGGGTGGAGCCTAATGCTGAGAGATCATCTGCTGGCAATATTTCAGCAGATTTCTGTTTATTGTCCTTGTGAAAGGCAATCGGGGGGAAGGGATGGTTTACCTTGGCTAAGGCATCGTAGGCGAGACCCAGGATCCCGTGCCACTTAACCCCTGGCAGGAAGAAGTTCTCTGACTCCAGGATGGTGGCAATGTTGGTGGTGTAGCTGCCATAGAGTCCTTTGGGCATGGTGATGACATCTGTGCCCAGCAGCCCAGTCCAGCTGCCTTGGCTGTACTTCACTGTCACCTCAATGCCTTGAGATCTGTATGTGCTTGACCTTTAAAAGGAGAGGACACACTGATGCACGGGCTGTTCATTTACAGTGCAAGACAACAGAATATATTCCAACTCAATTTTGCCCAGAGAGGGAAAGAAAAGGTAAATTAAGTATGCAAAAATATGTATTCGCCCTGCTCGTAAAATCAGGAAAAAGCAGAAATTAAAAAACCCCAAAAGTCAAAGCCCCATTTTTATCCAGAAGCCATCAATAACTCAGATCTTCACAATGTGTTTTTTTAAAAAACAAATCATCTAAGATATTATGTCACCTAGTGCAGTGTCCCTGACTCAGACTGGTCCATAGAAGCAATACCTTTTAAATGGAGAAGGAATGTGTTAAATGGCACTAGAAAATGGAAAGCTGCTGAATTCAAATCTAAAATGGAAATGCCAAGCTAACTGAATAGCTGTAGACTAATACCTCATTAATATTCCTAAAAGATCCTTTTTGGTTAAATATTATTGTGAGTACCAGCAGTAAGACAGAGGTTTCCTAAGTCTGCAGTTTGACCTGTCTGTGAGGAAGTAAGTAGACTTTGGGATTATTAACAAATGATTCACTGACTTGGAGGAGGAAAGGAACTAATTTCTTCTAGACCAGGGAAGCAAAGGCAAAGGAGCAGTTAAGTATGGCAAGCAAAAGAAGGAACTGAATCCTGTTTAAAAGGCTTAAAAAAATTATTAAAAGCTTCAACGGATTTTTCATTTTAAAGACCTGTAATCCATAAGTATTTTTCTCATACCCCACACACATCTCTACTCAAGAATTTTAAAAGTTCTAGATCCCTCACAATTTCCTTTGGATCCTCTCCTTGGCACACAGCTTCCTCTTTTGGAGAGACAGATGACCACACTCAGTTCATCTCAAGAGACTTTTCACAGCTTTTTGGAAAGTAAATTGGGGGTGGGGAGAAGCATAAAATAAATTTGTAACAGCATCTTTACATGAGTGTAGAAAAATAGAAAGGCAAGGGTTTATCAGGTGCAGACACTTTGATGAATCCAGCTTTAATCCAACAGCCACGTGAAGTGGCTTCACAGGCCCTGTGCCTGAGCTCACCAGCATGAATTTGGGGTCATTTTCATTATTATGAGGAACAAGCTTCAGATGGCAACATGGACAAGTCCCATAATTCAAACACTTTCTCCTGAGGGACACTTTGGCCATATGGACCATGCAAATGACTCTCCCAAGGCAGGGAGGCCAGGCTCCAACCCTGTAAGCAGTTCTTGACACTCCCAAGACCTAACCCTTCAAGGGTTAACATCCAAGGCAGCAGAAATACATGAGATAATATTTCAAAATGCAGGAGTTCCAGAGATACTCTTATTACCTGCATCTGATCACTTCCACTGCTCCTGTGTAATTCTGCATTTGTGTGACACACACACAAAGGAACACCTCTGCTCAGGCAGGCTCCTCAGAACACCTCTGTGACACTGGCAGGACATTTTATAAATCAAAACAGAGTCTGAATAATTAGCAGCATAAGGGAAACTGCGGGGGCAAGAAATGAAAGGGAGAATACTTTTCTTCATGTAGAAAAGTGTCTGGCTGAGCAGCAGAAGAGGAAACATCTGAAATCAGAGAAAATGGAGTGCTGGGAGAATAAAGTGAAGCAAATCTGCAGATACAAGCAGTGCATGGCTAGAACAGCAGCAGCACACAGCTCTTCTTCCAGAAGCAGGGAGAGCTGTGGACCAGGACACAGAAAGACTGGATTCACTTTCCAGCACAGCTGCTGACCTTTCCTGCTTCCTCACCACTTGTGCCTCAGCTTCCCCACCTGCAGAAATGGATATGAAGACCCTCATCTCATTTGTAAAGTTCACAAATGTCATATTGAAGAGGAGACTTTATTACTTCCTTCAAGGAGCAAAATTGGTAACATGGGAAGGGATCTTGCAGTAAATTAGATTCTGTTCTGCAAAACCACTTCCCCATCCTCTTGCAGGTAATCAGCCACAGGTTTTTTTCACCTTTCTGCCTCACTGATCTAAAGGAAGAAAACTTTAGAGGTCAAAACTAGAGACTAGTTGTAATTCATGGGCGGAGTGTTGTAAAACAAACACACAGGACAGAAAAGAAAATTACAAACAAGCTGTTTTGGCTGTGATGAGAAAAGAAGAAATTCACCTCTTCCAGCAGGACAAAGTAGACACAGGCATGGAATAAGGGCTCTAGATCATGGTGCTGTAGGGATCCTGCTCTCTTCTCCCTCTCCTTCCCGTTCCCATCTTCTCTCCAAAGCAGCCACCACAAAACTGGTCCTCAAACCTCACATGGATCTCGAGCCCCAGCTGAGCAAACCACCAGTGGGGTAATTTTCTCTTGCAGGGTTAATCCTCGTTACCAGCACACAGCACAGGACAAAACACCACCAGAATCTCATTTCTCATGTCACAATCCCTTTGCAGCAAGCTCAACGTGGCAACAGCAGATCCACCACGTGCAGGAAGCCCTGCATGACACCGACCTCACCAAACAACTCAAATGTGAAAATACAACAGAAATTGTTGATTTCTAACCAAGAAGTCCCATCTAATCTGCAGGGCTTCCACAAAGAGTTTATAATCACCCCAAACCACAACCTGTACAGTGCACACAACCAACCTGGCAGGGTCACACTGCAAAAGCAGCAAAACAAGCTGCTTTGTTTCTTTTGTTTGGTGGTATATAACTTATTGTATTACCTCAATTTATTGCCCATATTTCTCTTACCTCCCTATCTCTTGGAAAGATCAACTCTTGAGCAGCTTGCTTTTGAAGCTTCAGAGGGTGAGGCAGTAGTAGTCTTTATTTATTTACTGAAATAAAACTGAATACTGTTCCTGAATACTGAAAGCCCTGAGCATGTCAGATTTACATACTGCTGCAGAGCCATCACTGATCACTTGGGTTCAAGTGTAAAATTCCCTTTATATGTCTGTTTAAGTAGCTCTTTTATCATAAGTAGAGTACTCAACAAAACTACTTGTTATTTTCAACAGCATGAGAAACAAACACCGTGATTTCTTTTCAGATCAGGACAAATCAGGTAATTTTGCAAAACCTTATACATCACGGTGACTTATAGAGCATGATTATCACAGCAAACTCAGAACTTTTTACAGCAAAGGTTTGTCAGAGCCACTCAAAAGCCCAGGCTGTAAAGAAGTGCATGGTAACAGCTTTACTCACTTTGTAAAGAAAGAGCCAGATAATTAAACAGCAGGATTATATCACATAGATTTTATGATACACAACATCACTTAACAAGTTAGTTCTGGAATTGCTCCAGGAGGGCTCTTCCTGGAAAATACACTCTCTGGGTCCTTTGAAACAAAGATAATGCCTCTCCCATGCACCCCCCTCAATTTCAGTCAAAAAAGAATCATGCATTCAATTTCTGATTTTGATCATCTGAATAAAATTAAACTAAGAGTGTGGCACCAGGAAATTAAGCCCCATCACTCTCTCCAACACAACATGAATATTCTAAGAAGCACACATCTATAACTCATAACCCATTAATTTAACAAATTACTAATCTTTCTTCCCCCTTGTCTTCAACTTGCAGTTTAAGACATCGGAAGCACTCCATGACAACACAGGGAAAAATTGCAGGAGTGATTACCAGATGAGAGGAAACCCTTTTATCTAATCTTAAGTGTTCCTCCTAGGAAGGAAGAAAAGTGCCCATAGGTCTTTTTTCTCATTTACACGTGGGCAAAGGTTGCTCTCGGGTAATTTTACAGATCCAGCTGATGTGATATCAATGCCCCTGTTTACCATCCCTGCAAAATCACGACAGCCAAGCGTGGTGCTTTGGGCTGGGGATGGAGTTAATTTTCTTCACAGCAGCTAGCACAGGCTGTGTTTTGGATTTGTGCTGGAAACAGAGCTGAAATATAGAGATGTTTTTGTTATTGCTGAGCAGATCTTGCACAGAGCCGAGGTCTTTTCTCCCTCTCGGCCCACCCCACCACTGCCAGGCTTGGTGTGCACGAGAATTTGGGAGGGGACACAGCCAGGTGACCCCAGCTGACCCCAGGGATATCCCAAACCATGGTGTCATGCTCAGCACATACAGCTGCGGGAAGAACAGGGAAATGTTTGGGGTTTTGGTGGGGAAGTGAGTGACTGGGGCTGTGTGGGGCTGAGCTGCCATCCGGGTTTAAATCACAATGGCAGGGAAGGTGTTCTGACTGCTGGGAAAAGCCTACCCTAAGGCCAGTCTCAAAAAGAGACAAACAGCAGCACCCAAGGAAGTAGAGGTGACTGGGCTTCACCTCCAGTCAGGAGAAGTCTCAAACAAAACCTCCTGGAATCTGTTCCCAAGCATCTGTCCTTCCATGAAGGACAGCCATGCAGTCACAGACACTCAACGAGGAATTTCACAGGCACATCACACCTGACCCATCTCAGTCCCTTCTACATCAGGATTGGAGGCACAGCTGAGGAGAACAGTGGCTGCAGCACATCCTGGCTTCTGTCAGGCTTTGGACACCACCTCCCATGGCATTCCCATTTGGAAGCTGAGGATGTGGGGCTGAACAAAGTGTGGGCTGAAGGTGGGCTGAACCCCTGGGTCCAAAGCAGCCACTGATCATGACAAGCAGAGCCCCAGGGGTTGTGAGTGCAGCAAAAACAGTTCCACAACCTGGAGAAAAGGAGGCTCAGGAGAGACTTTCTCACTCTGTACAAGTCCCTGGCAGGAGGGTGCAGCCAGCTGAGAGTCAGGCTCTTCTCCCATGCAACAGCAACAGGACAAGAGGACACACACAAGCTGTGCTAAGAGAGGCTCAGGCTGGACACCAGGAGGAATTTCATCATGGAAATGGCTGTTAAACACTGGAAAGGGCTGCCCAGCGAGGTGGTGGACTCATCCCTCCTGGAGGTGTCCAAGGAAGGCCTGGACATGGCACTCAGTGCTCTGGGCTGGTGACAAGGTGGGGAGCAGTCACAAATTGGACTTGATGGTCTTGCTGGTGTTTTCCAACCTCAGTGATTCTGTGGTTCTGTGAAGGGAAGGTCTTCATCAAGAACCTACATGAAGGACAGACTGCACACTCAGGTTTGCATGGGATCTACATCAAAGGCAGCAGCTGCCACGCTGACTGCCACAGCCACCAGTTACATTTTTTGAGGTTCAGCTTGGACAACAGGAAATATTTCCTCCCCAGGAGACTGTGGCACGACACTCTGCCTGGACAGAGCATGGATTCTCCATCCTCAGAGGTTTACAGGACTTGGCTGGGCTCAGCCATGGCTCACCTGCTCTGGTGACAGCCCCAGCTCATTTGGGATGTGTGCTAGGTGACCTACGGAGCTTTCTTGCAACCAATATTTTTAGATCTACCCGATTTCATTGGGCCCAGGATCCCTCCAATTTATTTATTTAAATGCAGTTAAAATATTTTAAATGGTAGAAGCATGGTGTACCCAGGAATCTGCTAATGTTTGTGTTCTGAGCCCACTGCAGGACTCCATCAGTGCAACCCAAACCAGAAACTCTTGCTGCAATTGCTCTGGACTTGACTGAATTTTAAGTAATGACTTAAAATCAAGTAATGACTTGATTTTGAGTAATTTTACAAAGCACCCTTAACTAACTCTTTAGGGCCTGGACCTCAAGGTTTCATTATTAACCTTATATTAAAGTTCTCAAAACACAGTGTCCACTGAGCACACCGGTCAGAGGCTGTAACCTTCACATGATTTCAGTCTGTCTTTCCCCACACACAAGCTCTGCTGCTGCTGTTTCTAATGGTTTATGCTTCTGACGAGAGAGGCCTTGTCCTTCCAGTCTCAATAACATCAATTAAGAGACAAGGGAGAAAGAATGCTTGCGCTTTTAATTCTAATTAAGTTTTCTTTTAATTTTAATTAAGTTTTCTCTAGCCACTGCCTATGGAAGGGGACAGCTGGCTGGCATGGAAAACCCTGCAGTAGTGCAGGAATAGCTATCAAGCAGTATCAGAAATAGCTCTCCAAAATTCTGGATTTTCCAGGCCAGTATCATATCAGCATGATGTGAAATATCTCCATTAACATCTAAATATATGACAGGAGGTGAGGCTACTCCAGTAAGAAGCATGGAAATAATAGATTTCCCTCCATTCCCAGCACATCTTACTGGAAAAAAAAGTGTTAAACCTAAAGATAGACACTGCATTTTGGAGAAGTTTACCTGAAATAATTGAAACTAGAGAAAGGCAGAAAGGAAGGAAGAAGAAGTGTGATTCAGACAGACAAAGCTTGGCTGTGATTAATGTCAGCTTATGCTAAACACGGCAAATTTAGTGCACAACAAACACCAGAACCACCAAGCTGTATTTTATAAACAACCAGATTCATCAGGGTCTGCCCAGATCACTGGCTGATTGAGGCCTGTGGCCAAAGTGAACAACAAATTAGGTTTTGACTAAGTCATTTTGCTTCTGGATGAAATGTCAAGTAATACAATTACTGACACAATTACCGGCTTTTCATTTTTGTCTTCAAACAAAGGCAAAGCACATTGAAACTTTTAATTCCTTGCAAGTCTATTCAGGTAAGAAATTGGCTGAAATTGGTGTGATTTTGCAAATGATTTTGACCCTGTAATAATGTTCTCTTTTCTCCAGTTCTAATCAGTGCTGCTGATGTTCACTCAGAGCTCAGCTGTGCTGCTCATGGTGTCAGGCAGGGTTTGGCATCAGGCAAATCCAAAATTCCCACCAGGCAGCCAACATCCCACTCCCATGGGATGTCACAGGAGCCCCAGGAGCTGAGCTGCCTTATTATCCTCTCTTGCATGGAGAGCCAGAATCCAAAAGACCCCCCCTAATTTCCATGGGTGCAGAACAGGTACTTACAGCTCAGGATTGAAGTAGGATGTGACATCAGGATCAGGCACACCTGCTACAGCAAAATTGCTGCTCCCAGTGTCAACCAGAATATTTAACTGCCAAAAAAAAAAAAAAAAAAAAAAAAAAAAGAGAGGTGATTTGCATATCCAATGAAACAAATGAGCAACAAAAAAATCATTGCGGTTTTTGTCTAAACTATCTTCAGCTTTAAAATCGTGGTGAGCACTGCCCCGAGAAATAAATTTAGTGTCACTTTTTGGGGAAAATATGCTGCTGCAGCCCATCCAAAACAGCTGATCCTGCTGAAAAGCTTTAAAATAGTCCTGTTCCTGGAAGGGGGAAAACCCGCCAAGCCCACATTTGCACAGCAGATGAATTCCTGATCATCTCCAATTTCTTTTTGGCCCAAGCCCACATTTACACAGCAGATGAATTCCTGATCATCTCCAATTTCTTTTTGGCCCAACCCATGAGTCTTGGCAACCTGTCCAGAGCACAGGCTGAATTATGGACTGCTTAAAGAGCTCATTGTCTTAGAACTTGTGAGATTTCAAGGTAGGGGCAGAGTGCAGGTCTGGACAGAGATAAGCAGAAGCATGAAGCTGCTTTGTGGATTGGAAAACACAGGAGCAATGCCCAGTTCATCCTGAGCAGCAGCAGCAACCTTCCACAGACTTTACCACCTTTAAAAATGAGGACAGCAGATTTATTAACACCGTGATTGAAAGGTAGCCTAAGAGGGGGCCACTTCTTTGGTTGATTGGGAGGGTGATTCAGGCTAAAAGTTGCCACATGGAAATGTGGCACCTCCTCTCCCCATCTAGCTCAGGTAACCAGGCTGGTCCATCACAGCTGCACGCTGGCAAAGCAGGGTCACTGCTTTCAGTGAGACCTGGAAACCACACTTATGTACAGAGCCATTAAATGGTAAGTTTAAGTCAGTCAGAGACTCTACTGCTACCAAATCAAGGGTCACACTTCTCCCCTGCTCTTGGCTGGATGCTTCCCAGGCCTCCCTGGCAAAGCCACAGAGCTGTGATGCAAACCAGATGAGGTTCCTCACCTACAGATACCAAGGAAAAATAGAAATCTGCCATATCAGACAGCCACTCAAATGGACATGGTAGGAGCAGACACCAGAAAAGGGTGATTCCCTCCTTTGGTGACAACACGGTCTCAGACTGGCTTAAAACACCTGCTCCCCAGAAAAATATTAAAGAATTAGGAATTTTCCTGTAGGAGGGAGTGAGACATGAAGATTTGGTTGCCCATGGCTTAAAGCCAGCTCAAGCCAGCCCCTCTGATCACTCCTTAAGATGTGATGTGGCTTGGGATCTACCACAGGAGGGGATGTGGGAAGGACAAGAGAGAATGATCAGGGAAACAAGTTTGGTGTTGACAAAGGAAGTGGAGAAAAAGGGCTGAGCTCAGAGCTGAGTGTAAACACAAAGGAGGATAAAGCATTTGAAATAGATGTGCTGAATCTTTCTCTAATAGGACTGAGCGTAGACAAAAAGTGTGAGTCAGTGTTTAAAACCGTCTTTGGTTTGTTCACAGAGGAGAAGAGAGGTGATGGTTACCCTTGTTTCACCCTTTTAATATAGTATGGGACTGAGGAACTCTGAAATTTAAACTAGAACACAAAACCAACCAGTAATTTCTGAGAATCTCTTCTGAACTACAGGCACACTCAGTCATTGGTATTCCCAGCCCTAATCTTGCAGAAATTTTAAGACTAAAAAGAAACAAACCAACAACCTTAGCCAAGCTGCATCCCAGATTTTAGATTAAGCAAAGACAATACATTAAAATTTATTTTGCAACCACCTGAGCTAGACAGAGTCATCTAAGAACAAAAGGACATCCACAAGTTCACTTAGCTGCAGGAGCTGAGGCTTTAAAAGAAAATAAGAACCTCTGAGGCTCTGCAATAAAATCCAAAGTTTGTTGCATACTTCATTTCAACGCTATCAAAAGCCTCACATTTTTTCAACTACCTAACAAAGTATGAACTATTCATTTCCCCCACCCCTTCTCTGGCATAGAAATAATATTAAAAATAAACAAAAAAGAGCAGCTACAACGTGTGCCTGCATCTATCAGGACTGACAAAATTTGCCTCAAAGGGGTGCTGCAGGGCTTAAATTAATTAGCCTTTCCGAGGTAGTCTGTGATGCTTGAGTAATGGGCACTATACATCAGCTGCATAAATACATGTAGGTGTTGCCTTAGCCTCAGTGACATGCATGGCACCATAAACGGAGGAGGACTTGGGGGAGAAAAAAAAAAAAACCAAACAACCAAAACTAACGGGGAAAAAAAAAAAAAAAAAAAACAAACAACCAAAACTAACAAAAAAATCACTAAATGTGACACATAAGAAAGACATTTTACCCCCACACCTTAAATACAATGTTATCGTCACGGAATTCACAAACCATCCAAGGAAAGGGCAGATTTACTACCCACAGCAAATCAAGATTTCCAGAATAAAACAGATATCCCCCACAAAGAAAGAGGGAAAGCACAAAGCTGGCTAAGCATGCGGGCTCCAGCCCACTGGGACACAGCAGAGCTCACATGACAGATGCCATTGAGGCTGACATTCTCCATCCACATGTTTGTGCATAATGAGATGCAGGCAGACACTGATTTATTGTAGCCCTCACAATAGCGCCAGTGATTAGCAGCTCATTCTGGGCTGGGTATAACTTACTGAGTTCCCTTTCTCTCCTGATTTTTTTTTTTTTTTAGAGCCTTCACGTCTCATTAAGAGGCGCTTTCATGTTGTCTCCTCTGGAGCCTCCTTCATTCCCCATGGAGCTGCTGGGGCAGCTCCGGGCGAGCTCTGGAGAGTCACAAGGTGGCCACGGAAGGAGCCGTGGTCCAGGGCTGCCATCCTGTCCTGTCTCAACCACAGAGAGCCCTGCTGAGAAGGACTTGGGGGTGCTGGTGGGTGAAAGGTTGGACATGTCCTTGGGAATGTCAACTTGCAGCCCAGAAAGCCAACTGTGTCCTTGGCTGCATCCGGAGCAGCGTGGGCAGAGGTGAGGGGGGAATTCTGTCCCTGTGCCCTGCTCAGGTGAGAGCCCACCTGAGAGCTGCCCCAGCCCTGTCCCAGCACAGGGAGGAGCTGGAGCTGCTGCAGAGAGCCCAGAGGAGGCTCCAGGATGAGCAGAGGGATGGAGCAGCTCTGCTGGCAGGAAAGGCTGGCACAGCTGGGATTGTTCAGCTGCACAGGAGAAGCTTTGGGCTGAGCTCAGGGTGGCCTTGCAGGGCCTGAAGGAGCCCCAGGAAACCTGGAGAGAGACAATTCCCAGGGGATGCAGGGACAGCACCCAGGGAATGGCTCTCACTGCCAGAGTGGGTTTAGATTAGTTAAATTTCAATTAGTTCAATTTCAGACCCACACAACAGCCACTGAGAGCAAATGCACTAAATTGTTTCTTCCCCCTAAAGGTCACCTTAACCACAGCTGTGGGACATGAAATCTGCACCTAGTAAAGTACCTGGAGATTATTTTGCTGTCTGCATTTCCTATATGCAAATAGAGCTGTTATTATTAACAGGAGGCTCATGAAGATCCCTATTTTACAGTAAGCAAGACAGGAACATCCACCTCTGCCATGACAAACTCACAGAGGGAGTCTGACACTATCTATATGCCATTAGTTTGTGGTTATAAAAAGAAGCAAATCCAAACTTGTTTACTGAAAGTCATGAACACTGAAAGCAGAAGCCTTGGAGGTCATGCATTTTACATTTTTTCTATTCTGAAGGGGTAGAGACACTAAAAATTCCCCAGTCCCAATGATTTCTTTCAACTGGAAGTCAAACACTTGGTCAATACTTCAAGGATCCCTTAAACTTTCCAGTGCTTGATTCAGCAGCACCATCAAATAGCACTTACTCCATGCTACCCAGCTTCAGTAATTTAACTTACCACCATGTCTTTAATATTTTTAAGCCTTCCATTGCTAAATATTGTTGTATTTTGCTACCAGAAAAAAACCCAAAAATTGCCTATTGGTGTGTTATAATTTTTTCACTCAGCAGAGCTTTGGCTGGCTGTGGTTCAGGCACCTTCCCTGGTTCAGCAGGTGATGTCAATATGACACATCCACACTAGACTGGTTGTTATTCATGCCTCATTTAACTGCCTGGCATAAAACAATTTGCAGTTATCCACCGTGCATTCAGAAAGTGACTTCCTTCACATTTTCAAGGGAAAGTGAGAGCAGCAATCATTCATTTTTTGTTGCATAGGGGCTGCTCCTATCCCTTTGCTAGGACAGAAGTTGCCTGTGTTCTGGTACACACCCTGATCAGACTTTGGAGAAGTTCCTCTTCCCTCTTTTAGTTTGAGGTTGGGAGGTTCTGGTAACTTCCAGAAAAATATACAAAACAAATCCCACAGGCTGAAAGTGCAAAATGGATTTCTTTGAAGCAGCTGTCTTCATGATTTAGCATCCACAGGGTTTTCCAGGTGTGGAATCCTGGGGCTTGCCTGCAAACCTGCTGCTTTGGATGTGATTCCCCAGGTCACCCACACTGAACTAGGGATGCTTTTCATCCCCACTAAAAGACTGGTTCATAGAAAAATCCACTGTATTTTTTTTTCCCAAGTGCATGGGTCTGATCAACCCTTTTAGATCAAGCAATGAAGTTCCACCACTGGACTGGCCAACTTTCTACAGCTACTTGAGAGCAGGTTGGAGTGAGCTGGTGTCAGTCTTTTCTCCCAGCTAACAAGTGACAGGATGAGGGGGAGTGGCCTCAAGCTGCACCAGGTGAGGTTTGGGCTGGATATTAGGGAAAAATTTTCCTCAGAAATTGCTGTAAAGCACTTGACCAAACTGGCCAGGGAAGTGGAAAAGTCATCATGCCTGGAATTGTTAAAAAAACCACGTGGATATGGCACTCGAGAACATAGTTGATTGGTGAACATGGTGGTGATGCTGGGTTGATGGTTGGACTTGACCTGAAAGGTTTTTCCCAGCCTTAACTATTCCATGATTCTGCAAAGAAACCAGACTGCAAAAATGCATTTGGCTCTTCATTCCTGCTTCAGCTGAAGCACAGGGAGTTGGGGAAA